AGATGCCCCATCACCTCTGCTCTTTCTTTTACTTTTTAACTTCTTGGAAGAATCGTGCACACCTGCAACTCTACTTGCTCACCACTCAATCACATTCACTTACTCTTCAGTCCATTGCAATCTAACTTCCTTCCATAGGTCACCAAAGCATCAAATCAAGAAACCTCAGTTCAATCTTTAGCTTCTGAGCCTCTCTGCAGTCTGTGACATTACCTCCCCAGCCTGTAGCTTGGGAAACCAGGGAAAGATCAAAGGATCATGCATCCCAATGAAGTTGAAGTAAATTGTCTATTTTGGAAATGAGAAGTCTTCCAAGATCCACAATACTTTATGGTCTGGAATCTAGACCCGAGATCGGTGGTTCTTAAATAAATTTGCTCCCCCTCTACCCGTTTCTGGGAACAAGTGTCAATGTCTAGAGAGAATTTTTAATGTCATGATTTGAACAGGGATCACTACTGGCATTTAGTGGGTAGAAGCCAGGGATGCTGCTCAATATTCTTCCTTTGTTTTTTCTTATGACTTATCTTTTGGTATGCCTCCTTAGCTCTACCCTGTCTTTATGCTCCTCCAAATCTGACAGGTGTTTCCATTAACTCTGTGGTCTCTTTTTCCTCCTCCACTTTGTTTTATCTATGCTGCTGGTTTGTAAACTTGGTGAAAATACTTTAATCATACTAGATATATGGGATGCTTTTCAGGGTTCCTTGCACAAAGGATAGCTCAAAAAATATTTGTTTGCTTGACTTAGGATATATGTCTACTTATATGTCTATGTAGAAAACAAAACAAAGCAAACTGGCCTCCAATCTCATGAAAATTTGAGAGCAAAATTTGGAGCTTTTATGTATCTTGTGGCACATCTTATGTACATTGCTATGCCATGGTATAACAGGCCCATGGAAAGTCAGGAGAAAAGGGAGTCCAGAATTTGAGTTGCTGACACTTTTGGATTCGGGAAACCCTCTATTATTCTTGGGCATATTTCCTCATGCGTAAAACAGAGGGGCTAGAGCAGATGAGCTTCAAGATCATTTCTAATTTCAAAGTTCTATGATCCTAAACAGAAAACTGTTGAATCCCTAGTAAAATTTTTTTCTAATTCAGCAAGTTTTTCAGTAAAATAACATTCTTAAGTTGACCTAATCTATTAATACCTATTTATATTTTGTTGGATCAAACATGCAGTGTTTAAACATGTGTGTATACATACTAACACATACATATTAAACATTATGTATCTATATAAAATATATGTGTGCATTTATATGTATCTATATGTATGTCTGTGTGTAAGCATCATGTAAATCCAGTAAAACCAGGCTTTATTTCTAAATCAAATGTTCCAGTGCCGTTCTAAGTGAGTTAAAAGATGTTGATCATAAAAACATGGATTCAGCTTTAACAACTGTGTCACAGATAATGACGATGTAATGAGGGAATTTAAGCAACAATCAGAAATGATGTGGTTTTGTTCCCCCACCAAGCACATGTTAAATTAACTAGTAAGCTTTGAAGCCATGCATACCTGATGACTATTTTATGTTATCTTGTGTTTTAAAAAATGGTTCCAAAGTACTAGATTTACAGCACTGCAGAATCCCACACTGTTGCAATGCTGTCTTCAATTCAGCCACTTCATATTGAAATTTCACACACAATAATTGGCTGACCTTCACAGCTATGGCAGAAACTAATTAAAGCTGTAAGGCTGTGCTAGCAATGCTTTTGTGTGAAATGTGAAGTTTGGTGATAATGAAATATGGGGTGCAGATGTTATTGTCTTAGATAGACTGTGCCCTTGGTTCACACTAATGAAGAACAGCAATTATTAAACAAAAAGTATTTTTTACTCATTAATTATTTTGTGTCGCAAAAGTTGAAGTACAAACACAGCGCCATCTCTTCTACTAGCTTCTCCCTAAAGTAATTTTACGGAACTTTACCAGCTGACTTCTATATCATTAGGCATCCAGTTTTCACTTTCTCCCCCTACTGCTCTTAGACCTTTGGGAACCTTAAGCAAGGACCTGGAAGGGTTCAGAGAGCAAAGGGTAAAGGGCATGCTAAAAATGGTCACCCATAAAGATTTTTAGACAGCTAGAGGATTAAATAAATGAAGCTTTTTGGAAATAACTTCACACACCAAACAGAGATGTCGGTAGAAATATGATGCCATCTGCATTGTTGTCGGATGATAGGCAAAGGTCACTGCTGCTCTTGAGGTGCAAGTAGAGAAATGAAGCAGGCCTGAGCTCTGTTTCTTGGTTGTTTGGAGTCTGGGTTTCTATTAATAGGTCAGTGTGACTTGCAGGACTTCCACTGGGTCAAATATAACAAATCACAGATTTGTAACAATTGAAGAAAAACACTATAAAGGCAAGGCATATTGTATTGGCAAGTCTTCACTTTCCATGGGTGAATGATCTCACCTGCTTCTCTTTAATCCTCTTCTCATTGACTATATTTTAAAATTTAAGTTATTTTTTTTTCCTCATTGACTTTGGACTACTCAATTCTTATTAACTGGCCGAGGTGGGAGAGACATGAGTTAAACTTAAATTGTCCAATTTCCCTATTTGGGGAAGGAGATTGAAATGATTAAATTTAACTCTTACTTGTATAATTTTTACTGTCATTCATACTCCATATCATGAGCATACTGGTAGCTACTGCATTGGGCACTATGTCAAGGCCTTGTCTAAGAGGTGTCAGCTAGTAAAATGCAGCAATGATGAAGATGGGAAGTGGCAGAAGCAGCAGTAGGCAGGTGGGCATCAACTGGATCATGTTACTTCAGACTAGGTAGGGAAACAAAGGCTTGAGAGGAAGAAGATTTGTGGTCATGGAGATACCATGTAGGGGGAGGTTTGCCATAGATGTTAGAGGAGGTACCTTTGGGTTCCATTTTCTTAATGGTTGTGCCAGTTGTCAATATACCTAGTCTCTGGGTAACAGGATACCTAGCGGGACTATGACTGAATTTGAGGAGTAAGTAATATGGCTAATAATGGTTATAATAACTGTTGGCATTCTATGTCTCTTCGTTTTGGGGAAAGGATAAGAACATCTTCCTTTGTATGAAGGATAGCTATACGTTGTTAGGTAGAAACATAGACTAGCATTAGTGTTGTAAAGAAGTTCAATTGCATGCAGATGGGGGCACATAGAAGCTCAGTGACCAAAGGGGTGGACTATGTCAGTTATTAGGCTATTGCCTCTCACTTCCAAATCTATGCTTCATCGCCCTGCTTTTGATAGTGGGACATTTCTCCCTTGCTAGCTTGCAGAATGTTACATTTTTGCAGTAGAGGGCACTGGAGGGACACTGGAGGAAGAAAGGGCTGTTCTTTCCGGTTTCTGTGTGTTTTCTGGTTACTTCTGTAGTGTAAGGTGGGCAGTATTCACAGGACACCAGCGGGGCTCAGAGGCAACACATTTCATCAGCATCTCCCCCTTAGCAGCTTTTCCCCAGCAACGCAGAGGGCAGCTTTTTAGATGTTCCACTATTATGGGAAACAGGCCTGCCATTCAGTGAGCCATGAATGATCAAGTCCTCTCCAAGGGAGACTGTGTCTCACTGAGACCTTGAAGGAGGCAGGGCTTGATTGGGTCCTCTGCCTCAAACCTAGAGGTAGTGGCTGCTCACTCTCTGTGCTAGTTCTATAATCTTACCCAAAATAGGTAAGATTTTAGATGGTAATCCACTCTTGTAGTTAATAATCCTTTCTCACTAAGCTTACCTGGTTCAAATTACTGTGTGGCTTCTGTCTCCTGATTGGAACCTAACTGATTCAGGGACCCTCCCATCTTCAATTCAATGACTTAAAAAAGAAGTAAATTAATTTGTTTATTATCATGACTGATTGAGTTAAATATAAAAGGTGTGCTAGGCAAGGAGGTATTGGTAATAGCAGAAAGATGACAGAATATAATTGAAGCAATTGTCAGCTTTCAGAAGAAATAGACATTAATTAAAAGATTACAACCCTATGCAATTTTCAGTGTAAAGAACAATGAAAGAATGAACCAAAACCCTTAACTTTACCAGATATCAAATAAAGCAGTAAATTAGAAAGACTGAAAATGTAGAAAATACAAAACTGTGGTCACATTGTTCCATGTTAAAATGTACAGAGTACCCACTTAGAGATTACAAAAGGCCTATAGTGTTAAATACTTTGGGCCAAAACATGAAACATCAGCTTTGGAGTGGTCTTGGCTTACAGTGTAGAGGGAAACAGATCCATGAGATCTCAGGAACTGGTTTCACTCCTATTACCATTCACCTAGAATGCATCTCCAATTCACTTATTTGAGGCAGACTCCATAGCACTGCTAAATTGTATAGAAGCGTGATTCTGAACACTGCCCTCTCTTTACAGCATAATCATCATTTTCACCAGCAAATCTACCATTACACAAAATATGATCAATAATGGAGTGGATGCAGTTAAATAGAGCAGTAAAGAGACCTAGCTGGAACATTAATGAGAGGCAAGGCACAGCAGTGGAAGCCGGCACTTCCCCAAGGACAGAAATTGCCCCCTTAGGATATCAAACCATGTTTCTTCTCAGGCTGCATGGCATGTGGGTCTATCAATACCAGGAGTAGAGCAATGTGCAGGTAGATACCACCCATGGGAATGGCATCTAGGGACAGCAATTCAGACAAAAAGGAAAGGATAATAACTTGTTCAGTGAGAAATAAATGAGTTACAATGCTCCTGACCAGGTGTCTGGTCTGATACTTCTATGCTAGGAGTGCCCCTTTGGCTTAGAAAATGTAATGTCAAACTTCTTTTCAAGCCAGAGCCCTGGGGACAACTAAAACTGGGTTGCTGCAGAGAACTGCTTTTTAACCAGGGGCTGAGCAAAGTGCTGCTAATAAAACATCAGATGGTCTTTGTGGTGGTTTCTTTCAGACAGGGCTGACTTCTGACTGATGGGTCTTTTGTGTCTACCTGTTTCTGGCAAAATTTTCATTTTTTTCTTTTTAGGGATAGAGTCTAACTCTGAAGCTCATGCTGGAGAGCAGTGGCATGATCATAGTTCACCGCAGCCTCAAGCAAAATTTTAAGGTGAGGACCTGCTTGTGGTAGAATACCTGTTTGCCTCTATGAAGAAGCAAGTGTCATTTTCAGTTAGAGATAGAGAATCATAATGATGGTGAAGCTGGTTCTTGTGCGTGTCTCTAGGTTACTCATGAAGGGCAGTTTGCATGCCTTCTACTACCGGTAGGTGCATGAGTAAACTGCTACTGTACTCAACTACTGCTCTCAGGTGTACTGCTGGTAGTCTCACTAAATCAGTAGTTCCTAAACAAGGGGTGTTTTTGGGTTGCACCTAGCCTCTGGATATTCTGATTGAGTGGGCTTGTGGTGGGGAATAGGCATCCGTATTTTGATCCCAGGTGGTTTTGAGGCAGTGATTTCAGGGACTAGTATTTGATAACACTACACTTAATCACACAGATTCTTCAAAGGCCGAGGTGACCCAATGTAATAAAAGTTGAAAGAGGAAAAGTGGATGCTCTTTGGAGCTTTACTGCAAGTTAGAATGAGACTTGGAAACTTGCAGAGGTTTTTGTTAAGCTAGCAAAAATAAAGATGAAAGAGTTTAAATCAGATGTGGTATGACTAGCAGAGTTTTGATATATCTGGAACAGTATGAATTTCAGTATCCCATCACCACATTATACATCTTCAGGATATACATTCTCATTGCATCCTCTGTAAATGACACCCTTTGGAGCACGTGTTCAATAGGCAACAGATCAGAAGCCACATCAATACTGTTCAATCCACGTACTTCATCATCATGGCCTCCAGTTCAGGAGAGGGGACCAATGCTGACCGGGGTGATCTATGACTTAATGGGTAAGTGGCAAAGATTCCAAGCCTGATGAAGAATTGAGAGAATGTTCTGATCACGTAACTCAAGTCTGAGGCAGAAGAGCCAATTTATTACCCTCAGTGCCAAGTCAAGAAGAGCCTAATTACGGAATGTTCTTGGAGACTCTTTTATTTCTCTATAGTGTGAATTGACTTATGTTAATTTATTTACACTCTATTATTAGAAACCCATTAAAACCAATAGGGCAAGTTTTGAAGACAGGAGACTGATATCAAGGTACAGTCCACAGCCATGTGGCAGGACAAAGATTATTGGTCTGTGTAAAAATCACATATATGATGTTGACACCCCAGCACCACTCTAAAAAACCTTCCTATATGACAATCAAGCTGATCCATGCAAAATATTTGTTTGCTTATTATAAGGATAATATACGTCTATGTAGACTCATGTGAAAATAATAATACCCAGCATATACATCAAGAATATGAACAATTCTGTTGTACTCACACATCCCAAATCCTCCAGCAGGCCATCTTCAGCCATGTAAACATCTTATACTACATTAATTAGGTTTCCTCAGTCATATTATTTGTATCTAGGTCAAAGTGAAGCAGTATATTTCCCTGACCCCTTCAGGGGACTCATGACACAGGTGTCTTGTTTACTCAGCCCACCACTCTCAACTCCTCGCAGGAGGGAGTGTGCAAGTGAATGAGGCAGGCACTGGAGCGCATGAACACTGGAACCAGCCAGCTGCTTTGGTGCTGGCAGGATCAAACTCCACTCATGTGCATCTGCTGTGTTCCACCCCTTGTGGGAGGGAGCGCACAGGTGAGTGGGCGTAGGAGCTGGAATGAGTGCTTTCGGGCACCGGCAGGAGCAAAGTCTCTGCAGGCTCTGTGGCAGCATCTAGGTGGGGTGTGCCTGCAACCCCCAAAGCCCCAGAGGGCATGTTACAGTGCTCTTTTAGCTCTGCTGTCTGGTCTGTGGACAGCTTAAGTGTTAACAGTTCAGTAGGCCCTCTGCCTTTTGACATGAGGTGGCTGCCTTCCACCAGCAAAAGCAAAGAGCTAGTGTGACAGCCTTTTCTATCCACACTTATGGCTCCCAGGCTCTTGTCTAGCATCCAGGAAAAATGAAGTTGCACCAAATGAATTGAAGAATGGTAAATGCAGGGGATTTTATTGCTGATGAAAGTCACTTTCAGCAGGAAGGGGAGCTGAAAAGAGAATGGAGTGGGTGGGTAATCTTCCCCTGAAGTCCGGCTGTCTCTGACCAGATTTTTCTCCAAAGGTATGTCATCATGCTGTCCCTCTGAAATCAAGCCACGTTTCTCTTATGTCCAGCCATAGTCCTGATGTCCAGCTGCTGCTTCTCCTCTCTGCTGGCTGAGTCTGAGGGCTTTATAGGCACAGGATGAGGGGTGGGGTGGGCCATGGGGAATTTGGGAAAAGGCAACATTCAAGTGGGAAAACAGGGATAGAAGTTCTCACTTTGGGCCACAGTTTTAGGGTTTTTGGCTCGAAGGTGGGGTTTTGTCAGAGACCTACCCTTTTCTGCCTATAATTTCTCTGCCCCCTGCCTCTATCATTGTATCAAAAGGTCACTTCCTTAATTATTCAGTTAAATCAGTGTGTTACTGCTTGTTAATACCTGTGCATTTGGATACATCTAGGCCAAATATAGTTTCCAAGTGAAAAGAACCAAGAAATAGTAGAAAACTGATTATTATATTTTCTTGATTCAATGATATCATCATTTGTAAGACATACTTTCAATTGTTTTCAAGGATACAAAAACTAAAACCCCAAGCATTAAATGTACACATTGTTTGTAAGAAATTTCTTGATTTTAGAAATGTTAAAATGTAAAGACAAAACCAAAAAAACCCAAAACAGGCATCTTAAAGCTGAAGAAAGTGCAAGATACTACATAGAGACTCTTTCCATCCCTCAACACTGAGTAATAGAAAAGACGAGGATATTTTGGGGTGCAAGCTCTTTCATGAAGTTCAGTAAATCCTACAGACGACTCAATACCCATAATATATTTAATTTTTAAAAGAAAAACATCCAGAGAATTATTTAAAATACCCATGTCAAAGGGAGGTCTTATCTTGACTTTATGCGTTTTTACTGGAGATGGAAATTTTTGTGTGCAAATTTGTAAGAACTGTAAATGCACTTAGAGGAGTCTATGCATAAGGAATGAAGACATCTCTTAGGAAAAACTTCATCATAAGAAGAAAGATCACCAAAGCACAGCTGAGCTATCAAATGGCATCAGGCTTGGGAGAGAAAAGATAGCCTCCAGTCCAGCCTGCATAGACTTGAACTTGAGTTCCAGGAAGAAGGGCTTGTCAGTAAATTATAGTAAAGCAAAAATGAAGTCAGAACGATCTCTTTTTATGGTAAATCTATAGAAATATAGTTATGTCAGAGAGTGTAACAAGAGGGGTAGAAGATATGACAAGGTTAAAGCACATTCAAGTGTTAAATTCCAGGGCTCAAGCAATGAACAGTAGGCTAACCTGCAGCTCAATGAAACAAGAAACTCAGGAGGACCCCACACAATGTTGGTATCACAGACAGCAACAAAGACAGGATGCTCTTGGAGGGTATCTGTGTCATTACCTTGGCATCACTGAGGTCTCTGTTGGCACCAATAGTGGAGGCTCAGCAGTGATTCCATACCACTCAAACGCAGCTGAGGAGACGTTTTCAGAGAGGATTAAAGCAGGAACGGAGGATATGATGGTTAATGTTATATGTCAACTTGATTAGGCTAAAGAATACACAGAGGGCTGGTAGGACATTTTTGGGTGTGATTGAGAAGGTGCTTCTGGAAGAGATTCATGTTTGAATCAGTAACAAATAAGGACAATCCCCTCACACATGTGAGCAGGATCATCCAATCCACTGGGGGCCAAATAGAGCAAAAAGGCAGAGGAAGGGTGAATTCGCTCTCTTTTTGAGCTGGAACATCCATCTCTCTTGCCTTCGGGCATCAAGCTCCTGGTTCTGCGGCCTTGGGACTCTGGAACTTACACCAGTGGCTCCCCTGGTTCTGAGGTCTTTGGACTCAGACTGAATTATACCGCCGACTTTCTTGAGTCTCCAGCTTGCAGATAGCAGATTGTGGGGCTTCTGAGCCTCTATAATTGCATGAGCTAATTCCTATAATTGTCCCTATCTATCATCTATCTATCTATGTATCTGTCTGTGTAGCTATCTATCTATCTATCTATCTATCTATCTATCTATCAATCATCTATCTATCTGAGACAGTCAGGTGGGAAGGACTCCCTGGCAAACTTCAGTCTGCCTATGCATTGGGAGGAGTGAGCACCAGGGTGGAGCCACAGAAGTTCTCACCTTTTGCAGTGGGGAGGAGCTTAGCTCCTCCTCTTCCTAGGTGGTACCTGGGATTCAAGCTGAGAGGCAGGAAGCCATGGTCAGGAAACACTCTCACCTTGCTAAAAGTCTCTGTTTCCCCCTTTTTTCGTTTTCGCACACTAAATCCCATTTTTCCCACTCTTCAAATCATCTGCGAGCCTAAATTTTCGTGGCTGTATGACAAGGACCCCATCTTTAACTGAACTAAGGAAAAGTCCCACAATCTCTATCTCTATCTATAATCTGACTATATGTAATATGTATATATAGGTATATATGTATAATTTTATATTATATATATAATATATATCTCTTATTGGTTCTATTTCTGTTGCATGGAGAACCCTTTCTAATACAGAGGAAAATGGTAGGTGTCATATTTTAACCAAGAATGTATGTCAGACACCCACAGGACACTTCCCAAAATTGTGTATGGGGGGAAAGAGAGTAGAGAAGGTGTGGGTGAGGAACATGCCATTAATGTAAAACTAGATTTCTTTCACTTCTAGGTGGGGATACAGCTTACAAAAAACATTTTGATACATATTTTGACTTAGTTTTATCAGTACAATCTGTTAAGAAAGCCCCAGGTAATGCTTGTAAGAGTATAGGAAGAACAAAGTACATGTTCTAAATGAACGACCATTTTAATAGCTTGCACTAAATAATTTCATATAGTCAGCACTCTGTATTTTAAAGAAACACAGAATATTCAGCTATTAAATATAGATAATTTAATCTTGAATATTATAAAACTATATTATTTTCCTATTGTCTCTTACTATTATTAATCAAGCAAATTAAGTCAGTCAAGTGATTCCAAATAAAATGTGACAATTTGTTATACACAGGAATTTAAAAATTATAAATTAAACTCTATGTGTTAATTATATTTCCAAAATTAAACATCTACATGTTTATGTCTTGAAGACTATCTAAATAGTTTACTTCTTAGTAGGATTTTTTAATAGCTTTTTTTGTTGTTATGAGTTAAAAGATACCTCAATAAAGTGATTAAACCACTTAGAAAATCATGTGCTTACACGCATATTTATACAGTACTTTTTTTCCCTTTAAATGAGATGCAACATTAACAATTCACATCTTGATAGATAGTAACATGCATTTTGTGTCTCAGACTGGGTTTTCTTTTCCCTTTCTCTGTGGCATTTATGGTACTCTTAAAACAAGTTGGCAATAAAAATCAAGGAAACCTGCCTGAGTAAATGTGTTTATTTTATAGATGTTGCTTTTTATTTAGCATCTGAAGTGATATTTGAAGGAAGAAACTTGCTAAAATCTCAACAGAGACAGTTCATAATTTTCCAGCAGGTTGATGAAGTCTGGGATGACCTCACCTGGCCATGACATCCTTGCAATTGCTGACACTTGTATGTTGCATGGAGCATCAGGTGGCCATGAAAGACAAGGAAAATTAAAGAAAAGCAAGTTTACTCCTTCTGAAAAGTTTTAATTATTTTAGAGCAAATGTGTGTTTGCTCATAAATTATGCTGTGAAATTGTTTGGCCCACAAATGAATCAGTAAAGATGAAAATAGTATGGGAATTGAAGTCCTGAGGGAAAAAGGGCTCATGTCCCCGACTGGCTAGCACAGACATACAAAACATGTTTGTTTTTTGTGTGTTTGAAGTTAAGTAAACACAATGAGGCAAAACCTCTAATTTTATGTAAACTCCAAATGTGTAAGAAATTGTATGTATTAAACCTGACAGTGAAGTAACAAAGTTATATTTAAAATTTATACATAAAACCCAAAAGCATTTTACATAAAATTGCTAGTCAAAGATTGGAATGCTTTTCTGATGGGGGGAAATACATGGAGAAATATTTTTATGAAAATTATTTAGAAGAACCTGTGTCCAGTCTTTGGATTATAGTACTACAAGATCCAGAAAGGTCATTTTAATTATAATGCTCAAATTCTGTCACCTTTCTGTCTCTTTTTATTTTCTAGAGTAGAACGTCAGTCTACTGACCCTCAACTTACGCTGAATGTAATGTAAGTATTTTGGTTCTTGCCTGGAAGGCAACTGAGCTTGAGGATTTAAGAAATAGAGCTTAAAAGCGTTTCTTCTTTCATGAGAATTAGAAAATAGAAGTTACATCTTTCAAAATATCCCTTTATTAAAGAGCTAAACATACACTTTGTTTCTACCCAGTCTCTATCCTCAGACCAGGGTGTTCTGATTATTTCTGCAAGGGATGCTTCAACCTTGGGGTCAGTGGGGACTTTCATTGTGTTGACTGCATTGATTCTGAAAGTCTGATTAGATCAAGTAACTCCACTGAGATGTAGGCACAATGCAATCCATACTTAGACGTGTCCTCGTGAAATAGGACTTTGGGATTTTGCTAATGTTGCCAAATTGCATTTAATTATGAATATTTTAGATACATTGACAAAATTTAAGGTTGGCAAATTTATAGCTAAAATTCCTAGGAATAATGGAAGATGTCAAGACTGTTGGTGGGCGGAAGTATTTTTCAATCAATGATGCTTGATATGTCTGTGAGTTTGTGTGTCCCACTAAACACTCACATGAATGTCAGTGCCCATGCATTCACCCACAAAGAAAAGGCTTTTTAGTGATGGGTCCATATTTGTACATGGCACAGCTTGTAACCTTTCTTGGGCCCTATTTTCAGGGTTCCAGACCTGGTGACTGCCTTCATTAGCTTAACTAGTTCCAACACTTCATAACTGAAATTCACACACCCTCTTTCTTCAAGTAAATTGACAGTCTGAAAGTCAAGTAACAGTATCTTCAGAAAGCTCTATTGTGAAGCTGAATTTTGTAATTGACACCAATAACATCCGAGTATTAAATCACCCATATTTTTTATAGTGATAAGCTAGTCTGCTTGTAAATATGTTCAAGGATAGCATGTAGGTGGCAGAAGAGTTATGCTACAACTTTAACAGCTAATAAATCTTTATTTAAGCAGAGGACCTCTAAAATTTAATTAGGCATATGAAACTAGAGATTATTCTGAGGGTAAAAATATGCCAATTCTCACAAGAAAAGACATCTGCGTTGTGGAAAAACTTCAAGTTAAAATGTACTCTTCTGTTACTTTGTCAATAGAAAGGCTTTCTGGTAGAAGAGCAAATATCTAACTGAAAAGAAAAAAAAAGACACAGACTAACAGGAGACCTTGGCACACCCTAGAGGGGAGGCTATGTGAACTCTGCATGTGTTATTTAGCTAATTCAGGTCAATGCCTCTTCTTTCTTTTCCTCTCTTCCTCCTTCCTGGGTCATGGAGAGTAAGTCAAGGATCAATGGCAGATTCAGCTGTATACAAGAATAGATGTGGCAGGCAGTCGTCTTGTAATTGGGTAATTTCAATGCTTCGTTCCCTTACCACTCTCAGTCTAAAAATGTCTCCTTCTCTGCTCACAATACCGAGTATGGCTACACTAAAGGAGTAATCCTGCTCCCAAAATATACAACTTGTATATCTAAATTATAATGACGTCTTGAGCCCTCTCTAGGTTGCAGATGCGTCAGTACCTAAAATCCCTCCTGGCTAAAATGCAGACTACAGGGATTGGTTACATTCTAATTACAGATGCTCTACCTTGAGTTACTGTCTGCCCTTGATTTCCTTCTTGGGAGAAGGGTGGTAGTACATCATACAATTGTTATTACCTGGGAAAAAAGGGCAACATGTTTTAAATATCTCTTGTATTCTCTTAGCAGATTTTCTACTTCTACCTAGAAGTATAGAATTTGGTGGGCACTATGAAGGAAGATGTTTAAGGAACAGTCTCTACTCTAATGGAAGTTGATCTAGTTCAGAATATAAGACATACTTGAAGTATACTGTAACATTTCAGTTGTGTAAGGTATAGCTCAAGGCAAGAAATAATATGCACTATAGGACTAGGACAAAAATCTCCAGGATATTTTCCATGGGTCAGCCCAGTCCTTGAGCCAATAAAGCTGTTCTTGATGTTGTTTGCTTGCTTTTCATTTCACAAGAGTCCTTTTTCTCATAACAAGATAATATATTTTAGCAAAATTGGCTTCAGGAATGCAACTTCTGTTTTTAACTTTTGTTGCTAAAAGATGTACAAATGAAGCAGAATGAACATCATGAAAACAAAACTAGTTAATGATGGGATGTTTTAATATATATATATATTTTGCTACCATTAGATATGTGCTGAAGATGTTCTGTTAGTTTGCATGGCATTTCCTCCCAATCACTCATTTTATACTAAGAAGGTAACATTGATGTTTCACTGCAAATGTCAGCAAGCATCATAAATAATGAATTGAGAATTGTGCTCATATTGCCCAATTAAATCATCCTTTCATCTGATCACATGCCATTCATGCCTTTTGTGCACTTTTCTTTATGTTATTTTAAAAGTCATTCTGGTATTTTTTTAAAAGATAAATAGTGCAGATGTTCTCTTTTGTGAAAGACTTTAGATCTAGCTTTAAATGACTACATAATCCTATTAGTGAAAATAGATGAAACTGTTATATGAGAAGACATGCAATTATTTATCTTTTCCAAAATTCTGGAAGTAGGTAATCCTGCCCTAAGTGATCTCTGCAATGACTCGGGGACCTTGGGACTGTGTCTGAAAGGCAGTGCTGAGTGGATTGGGAATCAGATACCTGGTTTGGTCCTGCTGCCATGAACTGGGTGGATAGACTTGAGTAACTTTTTGGCTGATATTGGAGGTTTGGACCACATGACCTTAAGCTTTGATTCAGCTCTAAAATCCTGTGAGTTATGCCAACTGAATCAAAAGACTAGAATGCTTGATCCAAACTTGAGTCTTGTTTCTATTAATGTGAGAAACTGAACATTTTGTTAGAATACAAATGGTTTTAATTGTCCTGGAACTTACATTAAACTGGAGTCTGTTGTCTCCAAGACCTAGCAATAGGCTTTTAGGCCACTGGGAAATGACAGAGATTTATTGAGAATGTTTAGGGGGTTTCTGAATCATTGCATGAAGCAGAACAATACTTTTATATAGAAAGTTTTTTTTAAGTGTACTCCTTCACAAGAGGGGGGAGAGTTTCATATTTTCCCTGTCAGTTAGGACACTTCAGGGGTTTGTGAAGTGGTCTGTACATCCAATATCAGTCTTTTCTTTTTTTAAACAGAGTCTTGCTTCGTTGCCCAGGCTGGAGTGCAGTGGCATGATCTTGGCTCACTGCAACCTCTGCCTCATGGGTTCAAGCGATTCTCCTGCCTCAGTCTCCCAAGTAGCTGGGATTACAGGCAACTGCCACCATCCCCAGCTATTTTTTGTATTTTTAGTAGAGACTGGTTTTCGCCATGTTGGCCAGGCTCCTCTCGAACTCCTGACCTCAGGTGATCCACTCACCTTGGCCTCCCTAAGTGCTGGAATTACAGGCATGAGTCACAGTGCCTGGCCCATTATCAGATTATTTTGATCCACAACTTCCTCTCTGTGAAATGGGTATAATAGCTATTTCAACAGGTTGTTCTGAAGATCGCAAATACAGTGAAAATACTGAATTGTGTATCAGTTATATACCGACAAATATACATCATGCCAAATCTTAGTGGCCTAACACAACTATACCATGTTTTGCTCATGATCATGTGGGTCAGGATTTGGGGCAGGGCTCAGAGGGTCTGCTCCTGTCTGCTCTATATAGTGCTGACTAGAGGTGAAGTGGGTCAGTGCTTGTCATGGGACCTCCTTTTCTATGTGGTTTCACATCCTCCAGGGTCTCCCTCTCTTCATGTGACCTCTCTCTCCAGTTGGATGGGCTGAACTTCTTAGCATGGCAACAGGGCTCCAAGAGCAAAAGCAGGCTTGGGTATGGAGTCCTAGAAAGTCATTTCTGCTACATTCTGTTAGTCAGAGCAAATCAGCAGGCTAGCCCAGGTTTAAGTGATGGAAAACAGACTTCACCTCTAAAGGAGAGGAACAGCAAATTCACTTTGTAACTGACGTGCACCGAAGAAAGCTTGATTCATTGGGGCTCTTTTTAACCATCAATCATGCCTTGAATAAAACATAGCACACAGTAGGCACTTGATCAATGCATAAAATCTCATATGTTGCAACTTTCACCAGCATTCCATCTTATTAAAGAGGCAGCATGTGTTGACTCTGTGAGCTAAAGAAACTGAGAAAGAAGGTTGTGTTACTGGCTCAAATTCATATAGTCAAGGATTGATAAGGATTTGATTAGGTCTTGAACAGAGTTTTTTCAGACTCTAAGTTCTTTGTTCTTTCTACTACAATTTGCTGTGGATATATTGCGAAGAAAATGAAATATGGAAAGTGATCAGTGAATACCATGGCCAAGGAGGCTTACATGGCTGGCTTTGTTATTTTAGAAAACTACTTTGTTTATAAGCCAAATGTTGGTTGAAAGCTGTTTTCTTGACTTTTTTAAAAAAAATATTTTCTTCAAAATTTAATTACATCTGGCAAAACTTTATAACCAAGCTCTAGATATATTTATTAATAATATATCCAAACGTTTGTGTAATTTCAGCTTCCAGTAAGAAGTCAACATAGAAAAGAGGTAAAGCTACTGGGTTGATCTGAAATCTAGGCCTATCATGGTCTCCTGAACTCAGTCTCTGTTCATTCTTTTCCCTTTTTAAGTTCAGTATGAAAACAATGACTATGTTTAACAAGAATGCAAAATGAAGAACATAAAAAAAACAATAGTGTTAAAAATATAGAGTGCTCATTATTGTACAAGCCATTATATCATATTTATATAATACTTAACATCAATATATGAAACTCTTTATGTAAAAGTGTCAGGCAAAGATTTTTATTCTTTGTGTTATAGTTGTTACTATTGTCGTTATTTTGATTGAGTCTCTTGTTGAACTCTGAATTCTATTTGAACCTGAAACAGTAATCAAAACTGTAGGCTATTTGATAATCCCCATGAATATGACTAAAAAGTTTTCATGAAAGCCCTATAGACAGAATCCATTGAATTTAGAATAGTTCTCATACCAGTAGAAAGAAGCA